ACTTCAACAAAATTTCCAAGTAAATTGTTTTGACTTTTGATTGAATTAATTTAATTGACTCAAAACTGAGAAAAAACTGGTTTCAAGCTGCGAAGAGAAATGACAATTATTCTCCAAAGACTATTACTCGATGCTGTGAAGATCACTTTGACGTAAGTCGGCGAATATACTTGTTATATGCTTAATTAATCTCCTTGTACGTAAAAACGCGTTAGTACCTAACCAACTTATACTTACAAAACCTGTCTATAACATATTTTTAATTTACAGTTGGAGAATGACGTCGAAAATAGGATAAAGTTTAAAATGTATGGCACACTCTACTCATTGGCAGGACTGAACCAAGCTTTGCGTTTCATTTAAAATAACTGTAACACGATAACCTTCTTTACGTACTTTATGCTCCGGAGTAACTCGACTTTTTACTGTACATAATTCTCCATCTCTTTTAATTTGGACATAGCCGATTGCGTTATCGTCGTAAGATTCTCTTGTTGAACTGAAATAACTGCTATGTGTAGAAGCCGCTGAATAAAATACAAAGTTTAACAACTATGATTTATATATACCGTAGTAAATTAGTCCCCTTTCATTTCTCACTTGAAAACTCTGCAGTTTCGAAAAAAAAGTTACAACCATATCAACACTAACTCCTGGTAAATTCCTGGAGTTTGCTTTAATAAACCCAACTTCCATTTTTATCAAAAAACGCAATTAATATTCCCATAAAATAATATTCACTTTTACAACCATAATCTCAAATAAGTTGTCATAACAGGAGTGACTTCACTAAACGCTGATTGGTGTTTTAAAATACGGTTTTTTCAAGTAATTTTTATTCGTAATTATTGTTAAAAAACAACATTATGTAAAATAAAAACGTTGCAGTAGTAGCCTTTCTTTTATATTTTTTTAACATTTTAATCATAAAATTTTCATAAATATTATATTTGCATCTTCCCTTTACCGCCGATTTCATGGGACTATCTTTATTATAATAGTACTTGTAACAATCAATTTAATTAAAATAGTAAGCTTTTGGATTTAATTTTTTGTAATGAATATAGTCAAGTATCACTGAGTAGCCATTCAATGGTGCCATGTGATCCGCACTACCCCCCACTAGAAATAGATTTGAAATTAACGATACATTACGACAACCTTCAAATAGCATCAAAAAACAATTACCTATTATACTTACGACGTTACATCCTCCAGATTTATAATAATAATTACTAAGATAGTTTCACTTCCATGTAATAGGCGTCGCACATGATTTTTAGAGCTGTGGTATAAAAATAATTATTAGGAAAATATATATATCATAATACCTCCTCCACATTTACAAGAACGTCACCACTACCGCAAAGTTCATTCTACATATTTCTATGTGCGGGCGTCGTAACATTCTGTTTAATATAAAATTTTATTTCAGCTGTTCATAAAGTTATTTTCTGATTATAATATGGGCAAAAGGAAAATAGAACGCGATGAAGAAAAGATTCAGCGTTTGGAAAGCTATTACTACAGATTTAACAGTTTTAAATTACATAAAAGGTATAAAAAATCCATTTTCTAGTACCTACTCCTAATCAAAAATTTGAACCCAACAATCCTGTTTTTAGTGATACAGAGATAATACAACTAAATGTGTCAATTTCAAAACTACTTACATCTGGGGCAATTGAGGCGTATAAAGCTAATGTATCAGGTCAATTTATATCGACAATATTTTTAGTTCCTAAGAAAGATGGCATTTATAGATTTATTCTTAAACTTAAAATGCTTAACAAATTTATTAGCCCTGAACATTTTAAAATGGAAGATATCAAGGAAATAATGGGGAAAAAATACGTATGTTGTTCTGTGGTTTACTTTATTTTTTTAATTAGTTTATTTATTTTTAATGTTTTTAAACAACTCAATATTTCAAGCGTCTACCTGTAGACTTATTCGCTAACTGCTTTTGACAGATGGAGATGATAATCACAGCGCTATTTAGTGATCCACTACTGTTTTATTATAACGCCACTAAGATATTTGTCCTGAAAAGCATCGATGGATATTCAATTTTCTTTTTAATTATACACTATAAATGTCAAAAAACTAAAAGAATAGGCCGGCTGTTGCCGTTATTAATATAGTGCAAAATACGGCAAAATATCGCGATTTTTCTATGTGGTCGCCCCTTAAATATTTATTTATTTCATGAGATACAACCTTGTGGCAGATAGACAGACGGACATTGGAGTCTTGGGAATAGGGTCCTATTTTTACCTTTTGGTTATGCACCCTACAAATCATTTCCAACGCAGATAATGCCATATCTGCCATAACTGTAACGGTATCTATAATAATAATGTTAATTTGCCATCTCAAAATACAACCAGCAGTTAAACAGATGTTACAATATTTATATTTGTGTTTGTTAATGCAATCGCCCTTTTGTTTTTTTCAGCATACCAACTCCTTATTTTCAAATTTACAAAGCACAGGAAAGGCCCTCTATAATGATAATAATAGTAGGACAATATCACACTCGGTAATAATGTCGGCGCTTTTCACCATTGTCACGATCTCTCATCAAAGAATTAAAAAGTACATATTTTTGTATGTCATAACATACTTTTAAAACTTAAAAAATGTATAGGTACAGTAACAATTCATGTCATTCATTCAATTGATGAATTAACAACTGTAGCGTTTGTATGTTTGAATGCGTCTCACTGACTTGGACCAAAAATGGTTCTAAAAAGTTCCTAAAATAAGAAACTAGAAAAAGGTGACGCAACACCGCGGTCGCAGGTATCGTTGTATCGGAGTCCTGTTCAAGGAAGAGAACTATATTATAACTATTATTGTGATATTTGTTTTTCCTATTCGTTCCATTGGTAGAACGAACATTATAACAGATGGGGACAAAGCTCCTTTTGAATTTGCGTCAGCAACGCGCATAATAGAGCAGAGTGCTCGTAAATATGCAATTTTTCATGGTGTTAACCTGTCTGAGTTTGACAACATACTGGGCAATTTCTTCTTAATATAAAGACAGTTTAAACTTATTTTTTCATGGACAAAATATGTAGTTTTGGTCCCTAATATTGATTGTAGGTAAGCCACAATGTCAAAGGAATACATTTACAAGTATTAAATATTTGAAAGAAGAAATAACAATTATAGTTATATTTTTCATTTTTTAAGCCTGTAACTACTAGTTGTTTAAATCTAAAGAAAGTATTATTAGAAAGAAATCCACGCGGACCAGGCAGCAGACGCCTTTTTCTTTAGATTTAAACATCTACCAGTTAAACGCTTGAAAATTTAAAATTATAAGTATGTATGTATCTTGGGAGAGCCAAATAAAAATGTCGTACAATACAATCGGGGGATTCCTCGTAAACCATAAACGAAGAGGGCTGCCAACTTGGGAGATTTTATTACCCATTTTTTTTATTTAAATAAAAAACACTGTTACGTAACACGTTGATCGAACCCCCCCTCTATAACACATCGTAACGTTTCAGAAGACTCCCCCCCCCCCCCCCCCCCCCCAAATTGCGTTACGTACCTAATACCTGAACGCCCCCTAAGGGTAAAGATGGTTGGTGTGGCAGTTTACAACTACTGCACAAGCTATCTTCGCGGCGGGACTTTGACATCACTTAACATCAGGAGTGATCTATATCCCACCTGCTGTAGGGCATCCGTCTTCGTTGATGTGATGAAGAGTCATTTGCCTACCTAGTTATAAAAACAAAAGAAGACAAAGGAGCGGGTTTGAAATCCTTACTAGAGCATATCCGGACATATTGTTATGTCAGACTCTGACTATAACACACACACGGAGAGACGTCGTTGGCCATAAGGGCTTCTACTAAAGCTTCATCTAATGCGATCGTCCTCTGAGAAGAGGACGCATCCTTTCTGTACTACTCGTTACTCATTTGACCCCAAAATTAAGTTAGATGTAAGTGGGTAAAAACAAAAACGGGAATTTTAAAATTATAAATATTTTGTATATGATAAATATTTGTAATAATAAACATTATCACCATAGTTCATATGTCAATGGGAATGACCGACTTGCCACTGACTGTTACCTAAAATATGATCTTGAGCGGAGTGATGGCTGATTTATACGTCATCCTCGTGAATAGGAGCTGCCTCTCCGCTCCTCTCTTTTATTCCTTAACAGTATTATATTACTACCCAAAGAACTCTAGATTTTAAAATTCACCCAACCTATGATAGATTATGGCGCAAGTTGCATGGCACAACTTCCACGATCTATATTGTACATGTATCTTTTTTAAAAGCTAAAGGTAGGTATGTACCTACTTATTTGTAATAAGTTCCAAAATGATTACTTCCAATCCTGACTTTGAAAGAAACACGCCAGTTCCTACAAATAAATCTTTGATTATTTACTCATAATCAAAAAGATAAATATCCTGCGAAGATATAAGAATCTAATATTAAGTAGATATCACAATATGCCCATTATGTTATTGGCTATGGTGTGGTAACAAGAAGTTACGTTTACATTGGACTTAAATATATACAATCCTACCTCGTGTTAGCTTTTTAATGATTTTCCAACTCCAGGAATGTATACCATAACAATACTTAAAACTCAACAAAATAACTAAATCGTGACCTCCCCCCGTCCCCCTGTATAACTACATACCTAATAAATAAACATCATGCCAAATCCTTCGTCATGATAAACATAGATGATTGTAAACAATAGCTCCCGATATGCTACTAATTATTTTCGAAGGGTACTAAGCAAATATTTGTTCATCGTGTAAACCAGCCGGTTATAATCTGTGTTGATTTTGTTACAAGAGTACCTATAGTAGATATAACTTTAACCTTCGACACGAGCGGTCAGCTGCTGTCTCGCCCCCGTAACATGGGCAGAGAAGCGACCGACGCAATTACGCGGCGCTCGAGCATACGCAGCGGTACTTATATACGCTAACCCTATTCGGCACAGCTCAGTCGGAACATCGGTCGTGTAACGATTACACGTCCTTTTCATTTACGGTTTCAAAACAAAAAACAACAATGAGTCTTTTACGCGTAAGTCTCATCGCTCTCCTATACGCAGTGACAGTGCAAACAATCGAACTTCCGCATCCATTATCAGAGGAATTCATCGAACTTATAAATGCAAAGCAAACTACATGGAGAGCCGGACGCAACTTTCCGTTAACCACACCGATGAAACACATCAAGAAACTGATGGGGGCGTTACCGGATGAAAATCTGAAGAAGCTGCCTGTTGTAACACACAAACCGGAGGTGATCGCTAGTCTACCAGACAATTTTGATCCCAGAGATAAGTGGCCAAACTGTCCCACTTTAAACGAGATCCGAGACCAAGGATCCTGCGGCAGCTGTTGGGCTTTCGGCGCAGTCGAAGCGATGACTGACCGTGTGTGTACTTACTCTAACGGTACGAAGCATTTCCACTTCTCCGCTGAAGATTTATTGAGCTGTTGTCCGATCTGTGGTCTCGGCTGCAACGGTGGTATGCCAACTCTCGCCTGGGAGTACTGGAAGCATGCCGGCTTAGTCTCTGGCGGCAATTACAACTCCAGCCAAGGATGCAGGCCTTATGAAATACCGCCCTGTGAACATCATGTTCCCGGTAACAGAATGCCATGCAACGGCGATCAGTCGACTCCTAAATGCAAGAAAACCTGTGAAGATGGATACAATGTCAATTATAAAAAAGATAAGAGATATGGCAAGCACGTTTACTCTGTTAAATCTCAGGAGGACCACATCAGAGCCGAATTGTTCCAAAATGGTCCTGTTGAGGCTGCGTTCACTGTTTACTCAGATTTGCTTACATACAAAGAAGGTGTTTATAAGCATACACAGGGAGACGCTTTAGGTGGGCACGCCATTAAAATGGTCGGTTGGGGTATCGAGAAGGGTACCAAATATTGGCTCATCGCTAATTCCTGGAACACCGATTGGGGTAACAACGGTTTCTTCAAAATACTGCGTGGAGAAAATCATTGTGGCATTGAGGGTTCAGTAGTCGCTGGTGAACCTTTGCTAGTCGAAGATTAATACTAGCGCTATATAATCTGTACGTAACATTAAAAATATATTTATAAATAGTTTTTGTTTATAAATAAGAGTTAAACTTTATGTAAATATAGTAAAATTAAATATTCTTCTTAATTTCTTATTTGTTTTTCCACTTCTTTAGTTCATAATTAAATAGGACATCATCTGAGTATCAAGATGTTATAGAAATTAATGACTTACTTTTACTTCTTCGTACATCGGGTAGATTATCAAAAAGTACTGGACGCGTATTTTTGCTTTTTCACATAAACGAAACATTACAGGGAAAATTATTCATTAGAAATGTCGCATGACGTCACGTCTTGGTACAATTTTTACTTAGTAGTAAGACACGAGTCCCCATTCCCAAATTTTGACGCGCTTTAACTTTGTGAGTTTTTGATTGATTGACAAAATTAAAAAAAAAGTATTGTGTCAATCGTTATCGTAGTCGTTATTTTTTGATCATATGACTGACATACTAAATTAAATTTCGTTTACTTTACCCCATCATCATCCCTATATTAATAGTAAGTAATAAATCATTATTCGAAATGGATGCATTTGAATGAATGAAATAATTAATGATCACTTTATTGTACACCATGAAATTTAAAATTACAATTAATTAAGACTATTACGTAATAGTACAAACGGCGGCCTTATCGCTAAGACGCAATTTCTTCCAGGCAATCGTATGTTAACTGGACTGTTACATAGAGAGTGGGAAGTAGATGGTGTCATTTAAAGTGTAACTACCATTAATAATACTTATAAATAATTATAAAATAAAATAAGTACAATTACATAAACATTTTAATCATACTTACTTTGGATGATGTGACGACTCGCTAAAGTGTCAGGTAATGTTCCTTTAACATTTTTTTAAAACAAGCTAATGTTTTAGCACCTCTGATTGTTTCCGGCAAGGCTTTCCACAAACGAGCAGCCTGAACTACAAATGACTTGTCCATAAACGTGGGGTGCATTTGAATCTCGAGTGTTAAATTCTCTGACGATCTCAAAATACGAGCATGTGTATCATGCAGGAAATTGAAAGCATTTGCAGCATTTTATTTTTAATTTTGTAGGAAATTTTCGTATAAACATACCTAACAATCAGGAAAAGAATCGTCAGTTTTATTGTTTGTTCGCTGACCTACTGGCTTAGGTCTAGGCACAGCGGTAAAGTAGGTTACCGTAACGTTACACACTCGCAAATTTATTCGAGTAAATTATTGACTTGCAAAGAATGAAGTGGATACTTAAGTAATTGAAAAAGAGAAAAAAAAACTAATATGTACATTTCATATGTCAAAGCAAATACTTTTTTATACATATATTTTTTTAAGCATGTAACTGCTTGATGTTTAAATCTAAAGAAAATATAACTAGAAAAAATTCCACGCGAACCAGGCAGCAGACGGGACTCGAACCCGCACCCTTCGCTATCCGGGCGAATGCACTAACCAATTATGCTACCGCGGCCCTGACTGCCTCGTCGAAATTCTTCTAGCCATTCTTAGGCTGCAAGGCAGCGCCATTTCTTCGCATTGTAGGTAACCCACAATGTAAAATAAATACTTTTACAAGTATTAAACATTTGAAAGAAGAAATAGCAATTATAGTTATATATTTTTTTAAGCATGTAACTGCTTAATGTTTAAATCTAAAGAAAATATAACTAGAAAAAAATCCACGCGAACCAGGCAGCAGACCGGACTCGAACCCGCACCCTTCGCTATCCAGGCGAATGTACTGACCAATTATGCTACCGCGGCCCTGACGGCCGCGTCGAAATTCTTCTAGCCATTCTTAGGCTGCAAGGCAGCACCATTTCTTCGCATTGAAGGCACCTAAGACATTTACAAGTAGGTACCTACTTATCTATGTTAACATTTTTGTTTAACCTGGGTATCATGCTCTTTTTAGCTTAATATTATATTATATTATATATATATATATATTAATTTTATGCTTAATTAAGTCAAGTGTAGTCTCATTCTATTGTTATCGCAAAGAAAGTGCCAGCATTAACTTTAGTTAGTACTTAAAAGTTAATAGGTAATTAACGTTTACTGAATTAAACTTAATGCGGCAGTTAATGAAATCCGGATACTAAAAAAAGGTGATGCAGCAGAGATTCGTGCTGACAATGTTCTAGAATGGAAGAAAGCGATAGTGCAGCCAATACCAATACTTACCATTAGCAGTACGATCGTTTCGTCCCCCTCACACGTGTCCAGTGTTTTACATTACTATTGGACAGGGAATGCCCATTCTCTATGTCTATCACTAGACTAGACAGGACTAGATACCCTCATCTTGCAGCCCCGCAACAAGATACTTGTTAACGACTCTTAAGTAAAAAAAAAACAAAAAATAAAACCGACTGCAAAATCGAAAATGGAACTAAAAAGTAAAAAATAAAATCTGGTTTATGATTTGGAAGTCGGGCGGGTCAAGATTGAAAGACGTATTATTACCGATCAGAAACGAAAATCTATTTAAGGTTTCAATCTTAACCCCGCCCGACTTCCAAATCATAAACCAGATTTCATTTTTTACTTTTTAGTTCCATTTTCGACATTGAAGTCGGTTTTATTTTTTGTTTAACAAAATTTTAGTAAAAATTACATCGTCCAAGTAAACAATAACACAATTGACGGAGAAATCGGTGAACATGCATAAAAAACATTGTGCGTGCCTTTGAAAGGAGATTGGTCAAATTGGCCTAAATGCAAATAAAATATTGACATATACAGTAATTCTTGGCGTAATTTATACTTTATTTTACAGTCATTAGATTTGAACGGCCACCTTTAAATAATATATTAATTTTAAAAAAAGACTTCTATTTTTACCGGTTTGGAAAACATACGAATCATTTTTATTGGCTATGGGTGTAGTAACATTCACAAAGACTGATCGAGGTTGTTTATATAACATCAAAACAAATCTATTTTGTAAAGATTGATATTTTTTTTTTTTTATTACACGGGTGGTATTAATATCCACAACTTTATTATCATTTTTACTACATGCAAATGTGCTAAGACAATTAATTTAGATGGTAGGCGACATCATAAAGTCTATTGCCGTACATTTTTTGCCAAACACCTAAATAAACACATTATAAGGTGTGATACACTAAAAATCTAAAATATGGTTATAATAAAAACATAACAAAAATAATGAAGCTGCTGAAGATATGGCTGTATAACCTACAGCTCTTAGCTTTCTTTGATTAACGAGAGTTTAAAAATTCTCTCTAATCTGTGGCTCATTCACAATCATCACACAGTTTCTGTTCGTGTTTTTAAAAACATGCACATATCTGTTATTTTACATGCTCTATATACCTGAATCTAATACATAATATCGGTACTTGGCTTGATTGCCCTATTTTCCTATATAAGTTATTTGGTTTTTATTATTCTAATACCTATGTGCCTATTTGCAAACATAACCTCAAAATCATTCAGTGTATATGGTTTATAGAAGTTCTCAGGAGTGGCCGTCGATAATATTCGTTTCTACGGTAATTTATATATAATTTCGAATGTAGGAAACAATTTTTCATGGTTATTGGTTTTTAGGCCAAACATGTATGGAAGCTGAGCAATCTCCTTTGAAGGTTTCCACCGATTTCCCCGGATTCCACCATCAGATCCTGACTTTGTTCCAATGGGACCACCTGGGAGAAAGTGCACTCTTTCGAGTAAAAAATAAGTTTGGAAATCGGTCCACAATTGACGGAGAAATCTGCGAACATACATTAAAAAAAACAGTCGAACACAACCACCTCACCCTTTTTTGAAGTCGGTTAAAAAAAACGTAGCACTAAGGAAGTTATATACCTAACGGATATAAAATTTTATTGCGCAGCATACTTTTTCCTTTCCAAAGAATTCCATTTTCGATAGCAGAATGAGGCGTTGAATTCCTTTGTTCGCATTGAATTAAAGGTTATCGTCAAGTTATCGTGACTTCACACCATCAATTAATTAGGCATTCATTGGATGAGCGTGAATCTAGGGCATAGGTAGTGTGACGAAAGCATTTCTGCTTGTGCTGATACAACCAAACTAATCAAATCATGCGGTCGTCACAGCAAATGGAAAACGCACATTTTACGCACATTTGAAACTATTTGCAATTCTTGCTACTGCTAAATGGTGATTATTTGAGAGAGAAAAAGACTTGTTGTTATGTATTCCCTAAGCGTGCCCCGCGGTTTTACCCGCGTTAATTTGAGAAAAAACTGCTAAATTATATTTTCCATAGGGTAATTGCACCAGTGGTCAGCCTCATAACTACTTAGCTTCGCAAAATATATAAGTTATAGTGAGTCGACTATATAAGATATACTGTCACATTTTTAGTAGTTCTGTCATATATGATTTTGGTATTACTGTTACCGTTTACGCAGCGCATGCAACGGATGCTATGAAAAAGGATTTTCTTTTTAAAATAAAAACTTCTAGTTTATAATCTATACCTACTTAATAAGCGGAAGAGTTTGTTTGCTTAATTGTTTGGTTGAACGCGCTAATCTTAGGAACTACTAATTCAAATTGAAAAATTCTTTTTGTCGTAGATAGCCCATTTATCGAGGTAGGTTATAGGCTATATAACATAATAAATAAATAAATATTTCCAACACACCAATTAGCCTAGCCCCAAAGTAAGCACTATAAAGCTTGTGTTATTGGATACTACGGTAATGGATAGAATACATATACTGTACATATATAAGTATATTTTTATAGAAAGACATATTAAACATGCTCACAAATGCTCGTATTCATCACACAAACATCTGCCCCCACCGGGATTTGAGACCTCTCGAGTCGGCGACACCATGAAACCCGGCGTACAAACCACTCGGCCACGGAGGTCGTCGACATCATCATGGTTAGACTAATGCTAGCCATATACACACTACGAGAAATCGTTACGATCAGACTGTACAGTTCGAACGGAACAGTTTATCGGACGTGGCGTACGTATAGGAAACTGTGC